TGCTTTTGTCAAAAGAATTGTCTTCATTTAAGACACCTGAGTTAGTGGGTGTTCTTTAGATCACATTGATCACCTTGTTCCCTATTCTCTACCCTCAATTTAGAACGGCTATTCAAACGAGCTCCACACCCCCATTATTCGTATGTTATTGCATCTGGTCCCTGCATGAAAGTCAATGCGCCGTTTCTTTTCTACAGCAAACCACATTTCTGTCAATTATTTTCCCCGCCAATGGTTTGTTTCGTAAAAATTGTTTTATTTACTTTCATATTTAACTACGTCATTCATGTGTATTGTAAAGGTAGATTGAATATTCACTAACAGTTAATGAGGACATCAAATCGTGTTCCGAAGCGATCGCTCTCTCCCCCTTCGCATCCGCTTCCCCTATTGTCTTAATGGATTCATTACATCTCTGCACACTTGTTTTCGCCTTGTTTGTAACTGTTCACACCTCATATTTACAAATCATATTTCCCCAACTTCGTCCACGTCCAAACGACAATAATCGAGTGGAACTAGCTAGGCTTGACTGAGTCACTGGACCGTTAGCAATATGTTCAATGGGTGTCCGAAATAAACAAACAAACCATTTGCTTATTTCTCTTTTTTCAGAACCATACTCGGTCTTAAAGCTAATGATACTAGGTGGTTTTGGCCGCTGTCATGCTTACACCCGAATCCAACAAGCATTTTAGCTATTTCAGTTGTGTATAATCATGCGTCGCTGTAATTAGGCAGGTTACAGGCTGATTTAGAAGTGGTTGGAATAACGACTGTGTATGTCTCTCGGTCGTTAATAAATAAGTGTTATCTGTTTCAGCCTATGCTGACACCGTATTGTCCCACAGCCACTTTTTTCTGTTCTACCCCCCCCCCCGGGGTTCACATACAAAGAGTAGACAAAGGACATTAACAACATGGTATCAAACAAACCCTGGCATACCGCGCCCAGTGTGTGTGTGTGTGTGTTTGCGCACGTATGCTGTGTTTAATGTTATGAGACTTTGACGGTCCGATTCTCTCCCATCTACGCACGCGTCCACGCGCCACCTTCTATTGACCTTAATGACAGTGATTGATAGCGTTTTGGCAATTGTGCTTTGTGTGCAATTGTCTGTCGCTGTGACTGTCACACATAGACACACATATACACACACGACGTGCACACGCTTTGCCGCGAACGTCTACTACCTACAGTGAGTGGATGAATGAAAAGACCGCATAACAGCTGTGGACCAACAACAATGTACGACAAGTCAGTCACTCAGTCCGTGGTCGGGCGGTTGGGCAGTCAGTCAGTCAATCAGGTCGTCGGGTAGTCAATTCGTCAGTTCCTCATTGAGATGGCAAAAACACTAGAGACAAAGCCGCGAAAACTTCACAGGGCTCACACACTGTCACTACGCCGCCCTTTTATAAGCAAGCAACAAATCCGGAGTTCTTGTGCAGTGTGTACCTTGGTGTATGTATCAAATTGTTCCTGAATTGTGCCTGTGCGAGCAAGTTTGTACCTACGCGTGCACGTGCATACCTAATGGAACTAACTGGTGCGTGTGCTTACGTCTGTGCGAGCGGACGAGCGAGCGAGCTAGCGAACGAACGATGCGTTGGCCTAGGTTTGACAAGCAGATCAAAGAGCCGACAACGTGTTCTAGATTTACTGTCTATCTGTTTACCGGCCCGTCTGCCCGCCTGCCTACTTGTGATTGGCTCGTTAACTGACTAGCTGAGGCAATGATTGAAGGGATAGATAGGCAGGTATATTGTTGGGTAGCGGCGGGTGGACCGTGTTCAATCTTCACTTACGCTTCTGTATTATTGTCGTCCTTTTGTGCGATCGATAAGTGAACAGCCGTAGCTGCACCCGTGCCATTTGTTTGAATGGTCAAAGTGCCGACGTGTATGACATTGTCATGACGAGCCAATCCATCGAGTTGAATGTGGTCATTCGAACGATATGACCACACATATTCATGGTTTATTCGGCTCTCTTACACAAGTGACAGAAAAGTAGCTTGAATGTAAATGCGTCTGTTTTTCGTATTCAGACCCGAAAAATCATGGGGGCATCACAGGAATTCTCCAGGTCCATATTGGAAAGTCTCAGTGAGGCACAGTGCTGTGACGTGATGTGGGATATATATATATATATATCTGTATAATTTGACATACCCATCTAGCCAGTGGGGAGGGGGAGTTGTTCCTCAAGGCAATATCTATTAGAACCTTGCGTTTCTCGGGTTTCAGTAGAGACATCGATAGTGAGTCATTCTTCGTTGAGCTCGCTACTTTCGATCTCTGAAAGAATTCTGAATGAACAGTCAGGCTGTTTTATAAACCTTAGATAGATAGACAGACCTGTTGGACCTCGACAGACGGACTCGAAAATGATGTAATTACCCTTGCATCACCATGACAATGCCCGTCTTCGAACAGCCTCCTTGTGTCTTGGGTACTTTTCCATGCTGTCAACTTGATCGGGACGCGTTGATCGAGGGAGGACGTAAAGAGACAGGAAAATATTACTTGTGTTCGTTATTTCGGACGATATGTAATGCGTTTTCTGTCGCATCACATCGCTCTATGTTCACATTACGGATATGTGTGTCATCTGTCCCCGTCCCGCCGCTTTGAATGAAACTCTCCAGACTCATCTTTCGGTAATTTGTCACATTGACTGTCCTGACTTCACTAACTGTCGCCTAGTGACCCACTTAACTATCCACCTATCAACTAACCCACCTACCTTGGCGCGTTAATCTCGGCCGCCTGCTGCTGTCAACCGCCAGCAATTTTGTCTGTCTTTCATTGCTTTCACTCTCACTCGGTTTAGCTTCGCCGCAACACTGCTTCACTATGATGTATGTAAGTGCCGAACTGGTCTTGATATCTGCAATTCTAATACACCAAAGATCGATTATTTGGTAGACAGTTAGACAGGCAGGGTATAAGACACGCTTATATCCTCACACACTCTTGTCTATCTCATAAATTGCTTGTGTCTGTCTACCGATTATCTGGTCTTGTGGTGGCCGATCACCTATTGAAACACCAATATTCCCTAACATGTGTGTCTATGTGCTCTCTCTCACACACACACGGGTGCGCGCGCGGCGCGAGCTGCTACCACTGCCGCCGTATGAGCGCACTATGAGATCCCGTGGCAATCAACGTCCTCTGTCTCGTTGTCGTTGTCGTCGTTATTCCGAAAGCCGCTTGCGACGACGTGTGACATGTGAGGGCGGCATCACGGCAAATCAAACGCGATTTGTCTGAGGTATAATGACAGATAGCTAATGATGTGCGACGCACGTACACAAACGAATGTACGAACGCTAACGTGCAGACACGCACGCACGCGGGTTTGGTTAGGTGTAGGATGCTAACGTGCACATATCTCTGTACGTACAAAAATGGCAAATAGACGTCCTTCGCCGGGGCCCGTGTAGGTTTTGTAAAGCGGCGGGTGGTATTTGCGCGTACGCACATAGGCGTGTGTGTTTGTGTGTGTATATGTGTGTGTGAGCAACTGCTTTGCCACCCGCCCGTCTCATATCCCAGCGCCGCTTCCGAAACCGACTGCCCACCTACCCGCTTCCACAACAGCCGCCGCCACGGCCGCCAATGGCGGCTAGAGATGCAACGAAACGCTTGTTCGCACTTCCGCACTCGCATTGCGTGCGCGCATGTCCACACACTTACCCGATTTGATATTTCATTGGCTTGTACATACAAGTATGTCTGACACACACATGATATGGAAGAACAGACCTCATACGTGATAAGGCGGACACTTGTATGCATAAGTACCTAACAGAGAATTAAAGATCTACAGTGAGTTGTATTAGGCAAAGATGTTAAACTTGAGAATAGTATAGCATAGTGCCAGTCATCGTACATTTGGATTGGGCAGGGATTATCTCCCCCCCCCCTCAAAAAGGCGCTCGGACGGAGACCGCCGACCGCTGCGTGCCCAGATAGATTTCATTGAAGTCCGGTGTAGTAGGTACGCAACACAGTGTTGAGGGCAATTATTTGACAATCTGATACAACGCCAAAATAAACAATCCGTTTTCCACGCTGTTCTCTCCCTATAAGTATGTCGGATCCCTAACTAGCGGGTAAACAAACAGCGTCCTTTTGCTTTGTACTAGACTGATTGTTAGCATGTAACCATAGCATAGGCATTCGGAAAACAAACATTCACCTTAGTGAATAACACGAGTAACATTTGTAAAACACATTATCGTTTATCATTAGTTTGATTGTTATCATTACAATGGGATTTTAGGATTTTATCATCGTTATTGATGAATAAAGGAAAGTAAAACGGTTCATCAATTGAAGTTATTTTTGATGATTCCTCAACAATTGGCCTCATTACTTTGCATCGCAACAGTCTTTTTCAGAAAATGAATCAACACTCATAAAGAAAATATTGTTCATGAATTTGGATAAAATAATGATTATGAGTGTGCCAAAACTGTACCAGCTACTCAGAATGGGGAATGTGACTCGATTGTGGGATGTGGAGAGACTGTTTTCACCAATTGCTCTCAATTCTGATCGAGAATATCACTAGATTCTCTGGGTCACAAATAATTTTGTTTGGGAGAAAGTAGACTATGCGCTTAAGATTTCCTCACACAATCGTTTGAATTCATTTATGAGAGTTAACATTTATGATCATAGTGTGGTGTTGAGATAAACCATTTTGACAGAAACCGATACTATTATAAGCTATCTTATTCTGGCTTTCCATACTCTATGGATTAATGAATGACCCAAGGTCTCTCCAAGCGGCTTATACATTTCATACTGCATTTTTAATAATGAATTACATTAAATACCTTGGGACATCATATTGATCTATCTATCCCTCCTCTCCTTCCTTCCTCCGTTCCTGTCCACTTCCACCCTTAGTTCAACCCAGTGAAGAATCGACCGGATCGGTGAGGTGAAAATAAAGTCAAACAGCACCAGATGATGCCAGATGTATGATGGAAATTATCTCACCTCCGACCGAAGTAACCCAGGCTTTCAACCCGTTACCACTGCGTTTCAAAATGCATGAAATGACCTCGGATGACGTGCACTCGCCTTCACCTTCCCCACCTGGTCTGGAAAGTGCTCACACGGGCCGCGAGGATTCTTTGTCTGCATCCGGTTCACCGAACTACCCGAAAGCATCCAGTGCGTCTACAATTCCATATCCCAGTCCACCGATATTACCCCCGTTAGATTTGTCCAGCGTACCAACATCGCCAGAGAAGGACCAAGGACGTACAGAAAAGATGGGAACAGACCTAGCTGTGGATCGATCACCACTGAACGACACGACTGCCTGTGACCCTTCATCTGAATCACATTCGTCACCAAATCCAATTAATTATCATTCCAAGTGCACCGATACGACAGCACCTTCAGCGGAGGATAATGGCGATTCATGCAGCGGAGAAAACCGCCAGACAAAAGTGCCCAGCACCTCCACAGCGGAATCGCATCCTCTATGCTCTGAAGTAGTCGCGTCCTCTTTTGTGTCAGACTCTCCCGTAAATGACTGGACTCAACTGTTGCAAAACTTTGCTGAGTTTTGTCAAGGGAAAGTCAAACTTCCTGGTCAGCCTGAACAAGAAACATCTGGTGAATGCAATAGTAAAAAACCTCGAGTGGATGAAGATGGGGAACTTGGATCGAAAACCACACCATCCATGGACGCATTATCACAATTCCAGGCAATGTTTCTTAGCATGGGGCAAATGTTGTTTAATTCGCAAACCAATCCGGTTCCTCCTCTACCACCATCATCAACATCACTTGGTTCACCGGTGAAATCCGGCGAAGATATAAACGAAACCAAAGAAAAATTGTCCACCCCAGTGACGCAGTCGGATGTTCAATCTACTCCTCTATCCCTAGCTACATCAACGTATCCCGTCACCGGATTAACCAGTCCTACTTCCAGTTCTTCTGGAATAACGAGAGCTCCATTACCACCTTCAATATTACCTATTCCCGGAATGCCGAATTTCCCATCGCCATCTTCTGTTCCCGCTGGTTCAGAATTCGGAATGTCTTCACAGTCACCGCTGGCATTCACTGCCTCCCTTCTCGCAATGTTAGCCTCTCAGAATACAAATATGAGTGGTGGTAAGTCAATTCGTCCACCTCAATCTTTGAATGAGATCAGTCCTTTTGGTCCGCCAGCCAACTTACTTCTACCAAACCCGTTCCTACCCGGTCCAACATCCTCTCATAATGCCAGTCAGGGAAATCATGTGCCCACCGGTTCGTTCCCTCCTGCTCGAGTCCCTCCTATTTTCCCCAATGCTCCTACTAATAGTTGCAGTGCTGTTCCTTTTTTCGGCCCACCACTCTCGTCGAACAAACTTCCAGGACTGCCGGACAATCGTGAACTATTGTATCAGCTGGGTCAACAACTCATGGCCATGGCAGCAGCCTCAGGNTGGCCCTTGGTCGTCAACAAACAATAATAGCAGCAGCAGCAACAACAACAGTAATACCGGAAATGGTAGCAATACGAACAATCCCAATCCGATTATGGAAAGTCATTCCCTGTCTGGTTTTGCACCACCCAATGCTCCTTTCTTGTCCAACCCGATGGCAGCCATGATTGGGTCCAATTTATTCGGGCCTCAGCCATTCCCTATGTCAAATACTGCAGTCAGTGGTACACCTATATCGAATCAAGTTCCGGCAACACTATCCCAATCTGTTCCGGTGTCAGGAACCTCTGGCGAACGAAAATCCACAGGCCTAATGCCCAATCCTGTATTGGATAAAGGCATGCATCCTGGGTGTTTACCTGGTACAGGAAATAGTTTGAGTGGAATTTCTATGAGGGGGAATCAAAAGTACAGTGCATACTATCAGCATCAACGTAAACAAGGCTTTCATCAGTTGAATGCAAATAACATGGACTATCCCAGTAGTGGAACCAGTTCTCGTCGCCAGGGTACACCACTGACCACTCCACTTTCCGGATCACGATATGCCAGTCGGCGTTTTCGTGGTAATTTGGCCGCATCAGGATTATCGACTCATGGTGTGGGTCTAGATACTCGAGGTGGAACTGCGGGTTCCAACGTTCCCGGAGGATCACGACTACCTGGGGTAGTTCGTGCACCTGCAACTGCTATATTTCCTGGATTTCGCGGTACGGGACCATACGGAAACAATGGTGGATCTGTATCAGTGCCGTCGGTAAACGCAATGGCAACAACAACCACAAGCAACAAACAAACAATCCCAAACGGAGGACCAGGATCTAAGCTACAATCGCCGACCGATCCAATGCAATTAGCAGCAGCTGCTGTCTCGGCCGGTTGCACGACAACACCTTCAGTCAATGCGATGAATTCATCAGGGACGTCAGAACCGGCTGCCACACGACATAGAGATACAGCTTTCCTGTGCAGTTGTGGTCAGGACTTTGAAAGTCTCTACGTGTTCACCTTACACATGAAGGATACTGGTCATAAGCCAAAAAGTGATCAATCTGAACGAGATATCCCCAAATTAGTCCGTGGACAGGATATGTGGATCAATAGTGAGACAGAGCAAACACGGGAAATATTGCGCTGCATGCGATGTCACCAGTCGTTCCGTAATTTACCTGAATTAACTATGCATATGATGAAGACCAATCATTATTCGGAGATTGTTTACAATGATTCAGGTCGACTGGTATTTGTCAACCCGGACGATCCTCACCATCCTCATTCACGTCGCGGATCGGCCAATCCTAATGTTGCATCCGGTGGTGTTTCACCGGCTAAATCCACCGGAGTAAACAACAGTTCCGGGCATTGGTTGGGTCGACGTGGTTCCCGTGGACCTGCAGTAACTACACCATCCAATACTTCTTCCTTGACACCGACAAACACAAATCAAACTGTACCCGAGGTAGCACCAGTTAGTAAGTCCATGCCAAATCGTTTGTCCGACCCCATAGCACGACAAAAAACAGATTCGTCCACAGATTCGAATGCCGAATTACGAGACTCTCAGGCAAATAAAGAGATTGATTTTTCAGAAGAAACTGATCGCACAGGACCGACCTCAGAACCGAACAAGGTGCGTGGTATGGAAAATACCCCACAATCGGTCCCAACTGAGTCCCAGAGTCCGTCTCATCAACAATCCAAACGTGCCTCGATAGACGAATCAACACACCCGCTGACTTCAGCTGCCGAACGCGATTCGCCTATGTCTACCGCTTCCATCAAACCGGAAAGTATGGACTATAGTGATCGGACTGAGTGCAGCTCTGTCAGTCCTCAAGCGCCCACAAACAAGGAGACGAACGTACTGCGACAAATCGAAACGTTTGTTGAGAATAATTTGCCTCGAACTCCAAAAGGCCTAAGTGTCAAAGTTGATCAAGGTTCATCGAGTTCATCGCATAAATCGGCCTCTTCTCCACTAGCAACCATGTCCTCAGATGTCAGTTCCCGTTACTCTTATGGTCCCGTTGGGTGCCCCATGAATTCAACCAGTGACAGTGCCAAATCTTCTCCGTCGAGTCACAGAAAAAGAACACACTCTGAAGCAAGTCTATCTGCACATGGTTCACCAGTCCCCAGTCCAGCCAGTGATCAAGAAAAACGTTCCAAACCAATTTTGACCAACGAGACCGCGGGTAAAATCGTAATCGGGGTGAGTTCAGCTAGCGGCACTGCTTCAACTGCAACAATGCCTCTCACACCTACCTCACCTGGAGTTACAAGTACAACGAGTGAGTTCGCTAGCCCGCTACGTGAAAATCCACTTTCATCGTTACAAAAGTTGGTAGAAACCACACACAAACCGGTGCCTCCTTCAGCTGCTTTCTCCACTCCGACAGGAGTCACCGCATCGAGTTGTTTCTCTCTCACTTCGTGTGTTCCTAATTCGTTGTTTGTTTCTTGTAACGGGTCTGGTTTGAAGAATGCGACACATTCAACATCAAACAATCCTACTCGCATCAGTCATACTGGTGGTGGGAATAGCAGTGGACCCAGTTCAGGACCACGTTCACTCGGATCACCAATGGATATCTCTGGTGATTCACCATTCATGACGACCAATACCGGCGGTAGTCATTCACCTGGTTCACAATTTGCACCAATCATGCTACCGGCGACTGAGAATGAAAACTTGATTCCTGCTTTGTCTGCCCTATACGCATATGTGGAGAAATCTTCATCGAATACATCAAGTATTACCTCGTCCTCGGCCACAATGCAAACTGGACAAAGTCAGCACCAGCACCAAAATCAACAGCACCATCACCATCAACAACAGCAACATAATCAGCACTCACAAGACACAGGTATCGGACATAAGCCAGATTATCTGTCGCCGAACAATGCAGAGGAAAAGTCTCCTTCTACCGATCCATCACAGTGCCAACAGTCGCAAGGTTCGTTTAATTCTCCATTGGATAAGATCACATCGAGTCCAGCCTTGCAAGCTATATATGCGGCTGCCATGTCCAGTTTAGCAGCTCAGTATCTCACTGCCCAACAAGGTTCAGTTCGACCCACAGCCAACTTGGATCCCCTGGAAGCATTCAAGCAAGCTGCGACAAACTTCCAGGCCATGCTGGGTGAACCAAAATCCGATTCAGCTGATCAAGCTTGGTTAAAGATGCTCCAGTTATTCACGGGCAAACCGTTCCAAACTGATAACGAGTGTGCTGAGTCAGTTCGAATGAGTGGGACCCCGGATGAAGAGATGGGATCGATAGAAACAGAGAAACGAACGAATCAAAGCATAGACTGTGCGGAAGTCAATCGGACTCAAACGCGTACGCCAATACAAACGCAGAATACAAACGTAAATAGCGCTGCCACTTCCACTCCATTCACTACTACTACTACCACAGTAACAACAGGTGGTGACGGTAATAACAATCAAAATAATGTCGGGACGGGTCGCAGACTGACGGGTGATGGCAGAGCGGTTGACGATCGTGGATGTGTGCGCACGCCAGATAGCACTAAGGGAGCGGATAGTATCAGCACCGTCCACAGCTCCCCGTCTCCTTCCAAACTAAGTTCTTCTATTGATGCATGTTCTTATGCGAATTTGAATCACATGAACGCAAGATCCATCTATACCAACAGTCCAAACTCATATCATCCACAACTACCCAACGTACTTTCCGGTCGGTATCCGTCTATGCAAACTCGTCCAATACAGAATACGACACAATCGCCGGCCCTGATGACGACTATGATTACCAAAAAAGCTAAATGTCATTTCTGCGGTAAACCGTTCGCTAACAAGGGTCAAGTTCGTTTGCATATAAGTAAGAACAAGTGTCCTTGTCTTCTTCAGCAGTCGTGTCATGTGGCCGCCTTGGCAGCCGCTTTTGGATCAGACAGTCGCCCATTAACCAATGCCAACCCAGCTCCTTCCAAATCGTTTCTGAAAGACCCAATGATGGGCGCGAAAACAAGAAGCTCCGCAGAGGATTTCCTAGCCTCATTATCTTATCCCACAACCGGTGCCAACCCGATCCCCGGTGATTCCAGTGATTCGGCTCCATCTGCACTTAGCTTACTTAAAGAGCGATTCCAGAATTTTGATCTCAGTCATAGCCCACTTCGATCGTCAGGTGGTGTCAGCGGTTCCGGAAATGAATCAAAAACGAGCTGTTCTTCTTATACAGGTGCCACCAAATCATCGGAAAGTGATTCCCTATTCGCCGCAGCTGCTGCTGCTGCCTCTTATGCATCCTCCACGTTTGGACAAGCACTGCAGTCCCAACCTCTAATGGTTCCGGTTAATGATGGATCAACGGCGCCTCCTGTGTCTTGGCCGTTTGGAGCACCGCCCAATCTACCGCTCTCAGCGCCATCTTTTACCGCGGCTCCTGGAGCGTTAACGTCATCAGCCGGAGGAGGGAATCCGGTTACTGCAGCTGCAGCAAATGCCAGTCACTTGGCTGCTATGGCGTTACTGGCACAAACTCTAGTCCAGTTAACTTCCTCACAGACTGCACAATCTTCTCCGTTTCGAGGCGGTGGTGGCCCACTACCTACGGTTTCAGGCGGTTCAGATTCATTCTCTGATCCTTCTGCGATAACCGCAGCTGCAGTGGCTGCTGCAGCTGCAGCCCAAGCCCCCAATCGTTCATTGTCCACACCGACCTCCTCAAGTGCGACGGGCTCACAAAACCCGATTAGTTCGATACCACTGTCTCCATTCATGAATTCGGCAGCAGCTTTAAATCTGGACCTTCTTATGAATCAGACCGCATTAATGAAACAGCTTGCCTCCATGACCAGTTGGTCAGATCCAAACGCTACCAGGCACCGATCGGAAGATGAATCCAATGCAATGTCAAATCCTTTCCTGGCATTATCAAACTGTCGAAATCCAGCGCCCAATGGCCTCCCGTGAACCGAGACCACCGGTGAAACGCGTATGAGCATATAAATATAAATATACATACAAACAGCATGCCCAAAGACGTGACACATTTTCTTTACATTCAGTTCTCACCTTCTTACCGAACATCCTTGCTCTACTGATGTGCTTTCTTTATCTCCAACCGTTTCTCTCTTTCTCTCGTTCTGTCTTTGCCTTCCCTCTTGACTAAGAACAAGACATCAGCACACAAACAGCGCCAGACGAAAGTGATTTGTCCAATTCTTCCAATCTACTCACTTATCAAATCCTTACCGTTTCAAAATTGTG